ATGGTGCTTATTTGGATTAAATCCGATGAGTATTAAGAAAGTTATGATCGTTTAAAGTGAAACACCCAAAACGCTGAGAACTTTCCGGACAACCTAATATTCCGCCGCCAAGAACTAGCATACCCATGTCTCCATAGGAAGTGGGTATTCCTGTCCAAGGAAGTTTCAAAAAATCTTCCACCCCATTTTTCTGACTTTCAGGAAACGTAGTTTCAGACCACGAAACGACTCTACAGATCGGCACTCGATTGGAGTACTCGACATTTTCGGCTTTGAGAACTTCGAGACGAACAGTTTTGAGCAATTATGCATCAACTACGCCAACGAAAGTCTTCAGCAGTTTTTCGTGCAGCACATTTTCAAGATGGAGCAAGCGGAGTATGATCTTGTGAGTTCTTCTCAATAGCACTCTTATTAGAAGGTTTCCTTTCTTTTTTCATGCACACTCCACACCCGAGACCTGAGAGGGGCGTGGCTGTGTGCCTTCATTTGAACATGGCGTGGAATGCTTCTTGAAGGAAGTTGGTAGGTAGGGAGGATGGGAAAGCGAGAGGGGGTCGTGTCAGAGTAGGAAATTTTGACGTGGGTTGTATTTTGCGGAAAGTTCCCTATCGGTAGGACCTGCTCTGAGTGAAATGGTTGCACCGTACTTATCTGGTTTAAAGGCAGTTGGCACGATAATTTGGTACTCAGTCTAAAATGCTAGCCGAAAGAATGCAAAATGCGCAAAAAAAAGCGGAAATTGAACGTCCTAAAAACTGCGAAGAAAAGCCTCTTACTCAGCCCAACTTGAGAAGCAAGCTGGACGAGTATCCGTAAGGCAATTTCTTACCAATAATATTTATGGCTTGGATATGGCTGCACTTGGCTGTCCTCGTATATCCATGCAGCACCGCGGCCCGCTTCATGTCACTCCTTTTTCTTCATACTTTCTTCGCAAATGAAGCAATACGAGCATCAGGAACGGTCGTCCATTTGTGGGCGGGCGGGAGCGGTGGGCGTCCGGGTCGGTATGTTGCAGATTGGGTTGGGCTTCATGAGGGTACCTTTCTTGGAAAAGTTGCTAAGCAGGCCTACTCAGGGGCTCGGTAATTCCATCCTGCCAGGCGTATTAATCCTACTCGTCTTGGAGACTTATTGTGCTAACTGCCTTTAATGCTTCAGTAGACCGATCCAACTAGCTAGCCTCGACAAATACGTTCTTTGGCTCAAAATTCGATTAAGGAACCTCACACCTGTTTTTCTGTGTTCCTTTCGTGAGCTGCGTCCTGGTACCAGTTGACTGGTACCAGTTACTGTGAATACTCTGTTTGCTGCAATTCCCCCTCCTTTGAAGATTCCTGTGGTACCACAACCACAGATTAGATAACCTACTGAAATAACCAGTGCCTTGGGAAAAGTACGTCGCATCGAAAGATGGTAATTCCGCTTCTCCATGTTTTTCCTCTAGCTTTCTACGACCATGACTAAGATACAATACCTATTGAATGGGATTACAATAGCAGCGACAAGATTTTGACCATGCATTGGTGAGTTTTTTGACCGGCGGATGCGAAGACAGGCGGCATAAGTTCTGAGAACTGGTTACACAGAATGTATACAGCGCGTTAGGGGTAAAAAGGTTATCGGTGATCCAAGGCTATCATCCAGTATCCATTAGCGCCGGCTTCCACATGCTGCCACCTACTCGCGATCACTAAACGCCGATCACCCTTCACTGTTCATCTTTGAATGAATTATTTCAGGGCATCATCAACTGGCGTCAATCAAATTCGTGACAACCAGAGACGTTAGAAGATAATCGTGGAGTGAAACAGATGAAACGTATTCTTCTCTGAATTGAAAGGAAGAGCATCTTCCCGAAGGTGAAGTTTTTCTGGAATAGCTGACGCTTCTCGGTGAAGTTGGGGGGGGCATTTTGCACGTTCGCCACTTCCCATCGTCTTCTAGCTTTGACAAGTAGTCTCCACAAATTTTGAGTGGTATCACTTTATGGCTACCCAAGTTTTCACATATTACTACTTAATTGATCGACCTTACGATGGAATGTAACAGTAAGTTGTAAAATGCCTCAACCCCCCCCCCCCTCAAGCCGAAACTGCGACGCCTTTTCAAAATTTCTCTCCTTGAGTCCATTAATGCAGCCCTTCTATTCGTTTTCAGGGTACGGACCAGACTATGTTGTGCAAGCTGCATTCCACTCATTCTAACAAGTCGTTCTATATGCGGCCAAAGGCCGATCTACAGCGGTCTTTTGGAGTGAAGCATTTTGCTGGACCAGTATTCTACCATGTCAGAGGTCCGTTCAGTACAATAGTTCTGATATTCGCTCTCCCAATGCCCAATTGTGACTTCAGGCTTCCTTGAAAAGAATCGCGACTCTTTCTCGGCGGATTTGCACGCTCTCGTTCAATCGTCCAAGATGCATCTATTGTTGAGAATTTTTGATGAGACTGAGTACGCCGATGGCTCCATTAGGTAGGATTAGCGAACCCCAACCGTCAGAAAAGTGATATAAGAGGCATTTCCAGAAACAAGAATACCACCGTGAGCAGTCAATTCCGGAAGTCACTCGATCAGTTGATGCAGCAATTGAACCAAACTGAGCCATTCTTCATCCGATGCATCAAACCGAATGAAGTTTAAAAGGGCGCTGGTGAGTAACTGATAGCTTTTCTCCTACAGTGCAGTCTTTTTCGCTGCAGACGCTGGGGCGTTTAAGGTGCTCTGTCTGGCGCGGCGCCAGCCAGTTTTCCTCCAGTTGTGGTCGCACCTGGAAACTTCCACGACTGGTGGAGAACGGAATGGCGTCGCTCAAAACCCTTGCCCCTCTGGAACGCCCCAGCTTCCGCAGCGAACAGGACCTGCTGCGCTTCATGTGACAGGAAGAGTCTCTGATGTGGACAAGATGTTCCCCCTTCTGAACATCAGCTGTTCCACCTGTTTTTTTCAAGTCGGAATACATGAGGCTTTCGAATGGTTGCGTGTGTGGTCGTGAGCAGCATACATAGCCGTGCGATGCACCGGGTTAGCGCCCATTTTACGCGAGTTTGTTCGCGTACTGGGCGTCTACTGCTCGTCGCGACTGCTAGTGGTAGGTAGATAAGTTCGCGTTTCATTTCCAATAAGATAAAGGAATCTCACGACTAGTCGAGAATGCGAAGTTTCTGGAAAAGGTGGAGTAAGAGGAGTATGGGTCAGTAAGTCGGTTTTGCGATCGTGTGACGAAAGCGCTATTGACAGCGACATCGCATGCGCGGCATACGCACCACGGCGACAGCAACGACAATTCATTACCCTCTCGTGTGTGCTCCCCGGTTTTTTGCGACGCCGCAAACAGGACCTCCTGCTCGCAACCATATAGCAGTGAAGAATAAGAATAAATGACACTTACTATTGGACTATTACCACCCCAAAGACGGAAAAAGAAATTGCTGAAACTATACCTAGGGGTAACTCGGTGCTCTAATCACGTGACATTCGTTTTTTGTACTGTTCGGTGTAAACCTTACACTAAGGGCATTTGATGTCCTGATCACGATGATGAAATTTCCTTTTTTGAGACCAGCGCTCTTCTGAAACTGAGGTCGAGTGAATCCTTACCGCAAGG